CAAACCCTCAACAACTGTGGGAAAGGTACAAAATTCAAATGGCCGACGATATTTTACACAGAGTACAACATCATAATCCAAACGTTACATACAATGATTTCATTTTTAATGAAGCCCTAACAAAGATAGAAGACCAAGTCATAATAACTATAACTGGGAAAGATTTGTCAGATTTTGGGTTGAGCAGGCCGCAAAGAACTGGGGAAGTTTGCAGTGATATAATAAGAGAATTGAGTTACGATGCTGCTTCTTTACAACAACAAATAACTGAGTCTGTTCCGCGTCTAAACCCAGAACAAAGATTAGTTTTTGAGAATGTTGTGCAAAAAATCGAAAGTGGCGAAGGTGGTTTATTCTTTTTGGATGCGCCAGGAGGCACGGGTAAAACATTTCTTTTAAATTTACTTTTAGCCCAAATTCGTAAAGATAAAGGAGTTGCTGTTGCTGTAGCTTCTTCTGGAATAGCAGCTACGTTACTTAATGGTGGCCGAACGGCACATTCAGTACTTAAACTGCCATTGAACTTAGCTCATGAGGAAATGCCAGTTTGTAACATTACTAAAAATAGTGACCGTGGACGAATGTTACAGCAATGTAAGCTGTTGGTTTGGGATGAATGTACCATGTCCCACAAAAGAGCGATAGAAGCACTAGATCGGACCATAAAAGATATTAAGAGTAACCAAAGTATCATGGGTGGTATGGTGGTACTTTTAGCTGGCGATTTTAGACAGACTCTGCCGGTAATTACTAGAGGCACGCCGGCAGATGAAATAAATGCATGTTTAAAAGCGTCTCCATTATGGGTGCATGTAAAAAATTTTTGTCTGACTACAAATATGCGAGTACAACTGCACAGTGATACACAATTGGTGCAATATGCGGATGCTCTTCTGAAAATCGGAGAAGACCGTATGGAAACAAATAGTGACGGAATGATTACATTGAATCGTGAATTTTGTAATGTTGTCTGTAACATGGATGACTTAAAGAACAACGTCTATCCCGATCTTGCAACCAATATGAAGAACAGACAATGGCTGTGCGAAAGGGCAATTTTAGCACCGACAAACGAAGTAGTGGGGCAGATCAACGAACAAATCATGTCAGATGTGGAAGGTGATTTTGTTGAGTATCTGTCCGTAGACAATGTCATGGACACTGAGCAAGTGACATCGTTCCCTGTAGAATTTCTTAACTCCTTAGAATTATCGGGGGTGCCTTCCCATAAGTTGAGGCTAAAAGTAGGTGTCCCGGTCCTGTTGATGCGAAATCTTGACGCACCAAGAATGTGTAATGGCACACGTCTACAAATTACACACCTGGGACGCAATATTGTGAGAGCAATAATTATGACAGGAACAGCAAAGGGAGAAGAAGTGTTAATTCCCCGTATTCCAATAATCCCTACCGATTTGCCATTCCAATTCAAAAGAGTACAATTACCCCTGAAAGCAGCATTCGCTATGACGATAAACAAAGCTCAAGGACAGACACTCAAAGTAGCTGGTGTTCATTTAGAAAAAAACTGTTTCTCCCATGGGCAACTGTATGTGGCGTGCTCACGAGTATCGAGTCCACAAAACCTACATGTTTTGACCAAAGAAGGAAAAACAAAAAATGTCGTATACAAAAACGTATTAAACTAAGTTAAGTCAGGGATCAGGGTCAGGAAAAGTCTACCTATGTTAATCTCAATAATTCAATGTGCCGGCTTCATTAGAATCGTTTCATTATAGTTTCAGAGCCTATTCAGTCCAAACAAATTTACACGAAGTAGTAGTTCTACGCAGACGAAGTCGCGGGTAACAGCTAGTATAGAAATAAAAACAGAAATATTTTAATTTGTCTTAAAAATTTGGTATAACTGGTAAACTTGGTATATCGACCTTTTAATCTCACGCTGAATAGGGTTTTTAGCTTTTCTATTTATAAATGTTATAGTATATATGTCATTGAATATATAATCAGATATACAAAGCAACAGGTGTGTCAAAGATCGATGGAATGTATGATAGGGAAGAAAAGACGAGATAAAATAAAATACAGCGTTAAGAAATGTAACTAAGGCAACAGATGTTACAATAACAATAAATAAACTAATGTGTAAATGAAATGGGCGGGGCACATGGCAAGAGGAACAAAAAAGAGGAGCAAAAAATCTACTTAAAAGGTACAGTAAACGAAAAAGAGGGAGACAACTCCGAAGGGGATAGACCACATAAAAAAACAGCATGGCATGGCAGATATTGGAACAGTGCAGAGAGGAATGGCGGGATTTGGAAGAGGCCTTTGCCAAAAAGGGGCGCATATAGTGAGAAGAGGATTAAAATGGAAATCTGTTTAAATGTAATCGTATCTGAATAAAGGCTATTATTATAATTAAATAAACAGGGTGTGGGTAACACGCTACACTTGAATGTATTTTCGGCATGTAAATCACACAATACAAAATGTATGTATTGAAAACCATTTTAGTCATATTTTTGTACATAGAATTATTGATCCCAGACCCTATAAAAATAAATCTATATCATTATAAACCAAAAAAAATGTATAATTAAATAAACAGGGTGTGGGTAACACGCTACACTTGAATGTATTTTCGGCATGTAAATCACACAATACAAAATGTATGTATTGAAAACCATTTTAGTCATATTTTTGTACATAGAATTATTGATCCCAGACCCTATAAAAATAAATCTATATCATTATAAACCAAAAAAAAATTATTATTTTACTAATAGACAAAACAATGAGAAATTGGCCTAGAGGTTTCAACGTGCGACTCTCATACCTGTTTCGGTCCTAGGCTGGCCACCAATGGACTTTCTGTCTATGTGCGCATTTAAAAAATATCGTGACGCATAGTATCTAATCAAATTGTGATAACGTAATTAACCTTGTTTTCTAGTTCAACAAAACCATAAATTTGACATTCTAAATGCCACAAACACAAGCATACGTAGAATAAATAATGTATCTTATAAGAATAAAAATGTATAAGAATAGAATTAACTATAACAAAGCATGCCCTCTCACAACATTCCTGTGCCTAACGAAGGTCCTTAAAAAATATTGTAACGTGTCACTTGTAAAATATGTACAAAAGGAATGTATTTTTTTTGTGGATAAAACAAATTACGATAGCTTTCGTGCATTTCAATCGAAACTACTCGCTCTTCTACAGGAAATTGAAACAATGCTAATTATTCGCACCTGCAGGTTTATTGAGTGGACTAGATTTGAAACAGATCAGAAATCTATACTATTGTTTTAAATGAAGTACAATCTCAAAGCTCATTGTAGTTTAAGTATGCTCTAAAGGTATAGGAAACGCTTTTACTATAAAGTTTGTTTTGTATATAGTAAAACGTATTTATTTAATTAATTTGAAAGTATAATTAATATTACAAATTATTCTGATTAATATTTGTGGTTTCCCGGTTTCCGTAGAAAATTTCGTTTTATGTACATATTATGTTATAGCCAAAGGTCGCAGTCTCTTTCCGGAATTACTGATTTATCCTCACTTTGACCAAAGGATTCAGCCAAACGCCGAAATAAATTCCAAATTCTGGCCTTTGACTAAAGTATGAGTATTAGCATTATATTATATTATATTATATTATATTATATTATATTATATTATATTATATTATATTATATTATATTATATTATATTATATTATATTATATTATATTATATTATATTATATTATATTATATTATATTATATTATATTATATTATATTATATTATATTATATTATATTATATTATATTATATTATATTATATTATATTATATTATATTATATTATATTATATTATATTATATTATATTATATTATATTATATTATATTATATTATATTATATTATATTATATTATATTATATTATATATTAGGATTTAGTCAGATCTTTAAGTTTCTAACTTTTCAGTAAAAGTTCAAAAGTGTTCGGGATTTGAATACTCGGTCCTAGATGTGATGGCAGAATCGGTCAAATGTCGACTGTACTTGTAGACTAACTTAACTTAATTCTAGATACGTGCCCGGCGATAAAATAAGTTCTGAAGATTCTACATTTAAGGGCTTTAAAACAATTGCAATTTTAGATGTCATAATGCCTCACCAATCACCATGTATGAATACTATTTTTTAATTTAAATTACGGAAACATCCAAACAATAATAATTCTACACGTAATCTAACAAGTTAAGACTCTCTAATACTTAATTAAAGTTTGACTGGTCAAAGCCTGATATCATTAAATTGAGTTTCGACGTTTGCTTGAGCAAATCCTAAGTTTGACAAAAATTTAGTCTTTAGTCACAGACCGAAAAACTAAATTTGTTTGGGTTTTAACTAAGACTTTACTAGTAAGTAAGGATTGACTAGTCAAAGCTAGGAGCGCCGAAGCTACGAGGTTTGACTGTAACATATGGATATACATTTTACTCCAATTACATTTAGATGAATTAAGATTTAATTTTGTATATTTAACTCGTATTTATCAGAGTCGAGTGGACATGCAGATCTAGTTAGAGCTTATAATAAGACCTTGAAAAACTTTTATTTGCATTACCCGTGCCTAAATTTCATTCAATCAAAAATCATGCAAGCTCATCATGGCTTGTGGCAAAATTTTGCTTATATATATGTTTATTAATATATGCGATTTCTTTTCTGAATTAAACAAACTATAATGTTTTTGTTTTTCACAACATTTTCAAAATAAGGTTTTTTACATATATGATGCGTCAAAAGCTTTACAGCAAACTCTTGATACAAATTTTCGTGAAAAACCTTAATTTAATATATACACTCATTATTTCTTAAATACGTCAGAAATAGTTATAAATAGCAATAACTAATCTGTTGATTGAGTAAGCAATCACGTACAGCATATTGTGATGCTAGAGTATAAAATTTGTAGAGTAAAATCGTCGTTGAGTGAAGGAAATGTTTTTTATTTGTATCTATCATAACTTACTTGAGGTGCACTGCAAAGAAACGCAACAATCCATGCAATAGAAAGCATTGTCTTACTCCTTTTTCTTGCTATCGCTAATCGTAGAGGATACAACACAGCGAAGAACCTGCAAAAGAATTTAATTACATTATTTATCTAGAACGTGTAGCATACTTCTACGAGATTGTATCGCTCGTAGAACACGCCTACAAATGTTGTATACTTAAATGTACCATAATAAAACCACTTAATTGATTTTAAATTCTCTTAAAGCGTCTACCCACGGCCTTAAAATCAGAGGCAATATCGGGGAAATTATGGGCAGCGTAGATCGCCTCGTGTGTAGGAAAATCGTACCCTAATGCCGTGTGTAGAGTATGCTACTGCCGATTTGAACTACGAGCCGATTTCATCCCCACCACCATTGTCCCGATATCGCCACTGATTCTAGGGTCATTTGTAGACGCTTTTAAAGTGACAATTATGCTCGCTTTAAGTTTGCGCGATTCTATGGCTTGAATAGTTCGAGATTCTTAAAAGGTAAGAGAATACAAACGCGTAAAATTAGCGTTGTTTTGTGCCTTATTTATTGATAAATTATTATTATTATTGAGAAATATTAAAAACGGTTCGATGGCAACCAAAACATATTTTTTTACAACAAATAGTAAGTCTTTATAACAAAAACAGGTACACAATTGTCAGTCGTAGGATAGAGAAAGACACTAATTTTTTAGTGTTAAAATTAATATAATATAACACTATATTTATTCTTTCTTACAATGAGAAATTTTACTTTAACAAATACTATGCGTTTAAATACATTTACAAATAGTTCACTACAAAGCAATTTCAAATGCGTCTAAACTAGGTTCATATCAAAACCATAGGTTTATATAAAAGTAATATCCATTTCGAACACAAATATTTAATTCTTACAAAACTTATTTGGCTAATGTAATTTATACTGAAAGTATAATCACATTTCCGAAAATAACATATTGCAAAGGTTTCCAGTCTGACTTTAAATAATAATTAATTAACACAACACCTCGCGACTTTATTACGAAGCCTACATAACATCAAAGTTTCCAAAAAAGTACTGTAAAAATGCCAACCAAATTAAAACAAAGACCGAAGAAGACTTAAGAGGCTTGGAAGCCAGCCAGTATACTGTGGGCAGTATACTTACAATTCATTATAAAATAGAATTAACTTGACACTGTAACTAGTCACTAAACAAAATTTAGATTTTCGTGGTAAACTAGTTGCACAACAAGTATGTGGATATTATACGTGTTTCAAGTATAAAAAGCCAAACAAAATGTCTTTAACACGAGTAATACATATGTAATTCAAATATGAATTACAACCAAGTTTAATAACCCGTGACTGATGCATGAAAATTAGCGAGGTATGTTTAAATATAATTGGCATTTGGACTATTAAATTTAATCAAATAATGTCTTTTTACCTATGTCTCAAGATTTAAGGTTAAATGTATACAATAATATACACTTCTTACTCATTAGTGTACAAAGACAAAATACAGGTATGCTATTAAGATAATATTGAAATACCTTTTGCTTTTATACGTTTTCCATAGACACTATTTCAGACATTTCACAATTTTTGAATAATATACAATCGATTTTGTTCCCTTTGGGTGAGGTTCAAGTGCACAGGCGCATATTAAAGATTAAAGTTAGAACCTGGTAGATAGTACCGGTGACTCCAGAGCCTCGCTTTCCTCGCTCAACGAATAAGTATCGCAATACAACGGTAAAGAAATTGTAAATACTTGTATTTGATTGTTATGTTTAGGTTTTAATAAACGAGTTAATTTAGAGTCATTTCATAATTTTCAACATTAATAATTAACTTACCTAAATAAATAGTTTAGGTATTTATTTAGGTAATAAATAAATAGTTTAGGTAATTAGTAGGTAGGTAGGTAACCTCGACCCGTATGAATTAATGAATCGCGATACAAATTAGAAGCCTGAAAAAGGTTCAAACATAGAAATCCGGGTCCCAATGGCTAATGAATAAGCAAAAAACTTGAGCAATCGCACCCAAAGTTTTTTCCAATATCACAAATTTTGTTTGTTCTTATAAAGAGAAAAGAATTATAAATGCCTGATAAAAGGAAAAAGTTGTTAGCTGACAATTTTAGTTATCATCTGAAAATATATTTTTTTTTATTTGGTTATTGTCTCCGAGTATAAATATAATATTAACGTAAAGAAGCTATTTGACCTCACTTGCCATTCTAAATGAACACGATTTTTTAGAATATTGAAAAAAATAATTTGATTAAAAACTTTTTGGTGTAAGAAGAATATTATAATTAACTAAGATTTTTGATTAATAGCTTATTTGAAAATGTTACTACTAATTTTTTAAAGGTTATATAGAACTCATTGATGAATTATAATAATAATAAAATAGCTAACAAATTAATAAGCGTTGATAGAACAATTTCTAATTTAACAGACAAAAAAATCCTAACGTTAACTATGCACTTATACCGATCATCATACTATTTTTAAAAAAAGTGCTTGAGTACAAAGTAAACATGTCAGAAGTGAAATTTCTTTGGCAAACTAAAATTGTATGCGGTGATGTTAGTTGTTTCGACTATGTATTTGCGTGTTATTCCCATGAGAATGTAAGTGCTCCTATTTCACCATGCCTCCTGCTGATAGAAGACAAAGCTTTGTTTTTAATTTATTTTATTATTATTTATTACTTAAGATGTCATGTGGAACATGGTGTAATGGTTGCAGCTCTAGTGGCGGAGAGTTTATTGCCAGTTCTTCTCTTCCGTTCTACGCTCTTGATTTGAGAACTGGCAGTAAATGTAAACTTAGAAGTATTTAATGTATATTTCTTTAACCCGCCGCCCTAATTAAATGAACCGACACAAAATCTAGCCAAGTTTCTGACAACGAATGATACAGTAACCTGGAGGCCGTCCGAAATGGAAGCCATGATATCATCAGCCAGATCAGATGCTCCTACCATTACAACGCTTAGTTTTATATTCTTACTTTAATCACTCCACGACATAAATCAATTTGGCATTCGAGGCACGCGCTAACTCGGAAGCGAAATTACTTCACAACTAAAAACTACCTACCTATTGGGAATAATTGAATAATAAATTCATTTCAATCTCATTTGATGAACACAGAAATGCCAATTATTGTTACTATGAGAACAAAACACCGAATTTCAATATGCTTTCCATTCCTTTGTCCTGTGTAATTCAAAACAACAAACAACTGTTTGAATAATTATTCTCTCATATCGTTTAAAAGTTGAAGAAAATAACAATCAATTTTACTATAATTTTTTTATGAAATAGAAGGCAAACGGGCAGGAGGCTCACCTTATGTTAAGTGATAACGCCGCCCAAGGACACTCGCATTGCCAGATGGCTCGCAAATGCATTGCCGGCCATTTAAGACTTGGTAAGCTCTTTTCTTGAAGGGCCCTAAGTCAAATTGGTTCGGAAATGCTTTAGTGGGCAGCACCACTTGGTGCGCGGCAAAAACTGCCTTAAGAAAAGCTCAGTTGTGGAACGGACGTCGAGGTGATACGGATGGTATTTTGTATTCTGTCCTGACTTCCGGTTATGAAACTCAGATGGTGGTATTACTCCGAACAACTATAACGGTAAGTAGGGTTTAGTGTTTGCTCTTCACATTTTAAATTACGTTTTTAACGGTAATAAACAAATAGTGTTAAAATCGTGCGACTCTCCACACTAGTACGTTTAAATCCCGGCTGTGTACTAATGCAACAAAGGCCAAATATCGCTGTAAAATATACACATTTTTTAAGGTAGCATAATTTATGCCTTACTTATAATTTTTCGTTAATTCCCTAAATAATTCTATAATTTAACGTCAAATTATCTTAGCAAGTGTCGAAGTGTTATTGTAACTGCTGTTGTTTTATAAATTGCCACTGTTTATTGAGCTGTTATAACTTAAACTGACAATTTTACGCGTTAATCGTTTCCTATATTTAATCTGTACTTTAATAAACAAGTTAATCGACCGACAATTTGTTAAGTATATTTAATATACAATTGGAAACAATAAATTCTTATAAATACATAATTTATCTTTCTATATACGAATGTATGTGTATGCATAAGATTTACAAACCACAAGGCTCAGTATAACAACATAATATGTTGTATTAATTAAAAGTTCATGTACTGCCAATGTTTGTGTATCTTCGCTTGCAATATTTTATTTGTCAGAAAATTTTGATCGAATATTAATTAATTTTTATTGTTCTTTGGTTAATCATTAAGATTTCTTCTTTAATTTTGTTATTGGAATCATTTCTGAATGAATATTGATACCACCAACCAGAGCAGAGCAAATACCTTGAGTTGACTTCAGACGCTATCTTGACTTATGACAGTGCGTACAGGGAAAGCAAGACAGTACTGATTGAGTATTCAGTGCAGCAGTTGAGATTTTGGACCGACTTTAGTCTATTAGATTGTGATTAAAATTAAGAGACCGGTGATTAGAACCCGCTGCTCGTAATAATTTTAGCGAAAGTGCTATTTGTAGTGATAAAAGGAATGAATCTAATTATAATACTGTACGCTAATTATTCGTCTTTTTTACGGACGTGACGCCCACTAAACCCGTTAATGATTTAGTCAATATCGATGGAGTGAGGATTTTTCTCCGACTTGTGAATTCTAGCAGTATTGGAACAACTTACTTTTTATAAGTAACTAGCTGTTCCCTGCCCCGCTTCGCTGTGGCACATTGTCAATAAATTTTGCAATACTTGTGGAAAAAAATGAAAAAATAAAAAAAACTTATTTTTCATTTTGCGGATTTTGCGGATTGCGATCGGTTCAGCACTTTTTGAGTTTTTGAAGCGTACACAAACCAACATAACATTTTTATATATAAAGATAGATGTAGATAATTTACATAGATTTAAATCACTGTTGTGATGGGCATGTTATATTGTTTTTCGTTACTCGTGACATTTGTCAACTGACTGATTATGTCTGACTGAGTGTACTATCTAATAAATAAAAACAAAAATCTTTCAAATTATTATTTTATATAATAAAGTTTTGAATAAAATTCGTATGCACCGCTTGTGCAGTTAAACCATTTTAGAAAGGAATTTAGACAGACAATTCTTAAACACGACATTTTTTTGTATTTGATCTCGGACCAACAATTGGCACGTTGATGAACAGATCTCATTGAGAGCCATGTAAAGAAAACAAATTTGTCATGTCGACACATCCACTTCAAATGATTAATCCAAACTGGCCATATTGTTTTTCTAAAGACCCGCCCCGGCTGCTCGCGGTATCCTTGACTAGAAAATCTTGAAAATTTATACAACTTTAAGATTTTAATTCATTTTTAATTTGAACAGAAGAAAAAACATTAGTAGTTTAAGGTAGTATATAAGTTAGTCTATGATTATGCTGTAAACAGTATATATGCTATACATCATTTACAGCAGCATTTATTTATAAATAAATAGATATTAGCAAAAATTACAATAAATTACGTCCAGTAGTTATGGTGTGGTGCGGTTTGTTTTTATACAATGTAATATTAGATATATGTGACACTACTACTTTTTTGTAAACATTATTTAGTTCTATCATTTTTCTATAGAACTCAATCATAACTTATAACTCTCACCTGTAAAGCAGCGTTCGAAAGGAACGTCTTTCTCCACCTGACTTTGCAAATCCAACCACAAAAAAAACTCTTTAAATTTTTCGTGTTAATATGGCTATGAAACTTACAGATGATTTTTAAGTAGACCCAGGCAACCTCACAAATTTTCCCTCTTTATAATATTATGATAGATTATTATTACAATACAAAACTTTAAAGTGTATAATCACAGTATATTTAAATTAGGATGAAATGTTAATGACATTGGATACAAATATTTGTCTAACCTTAATTATGAATTCCGTAATAATAAAGTAATATTTAAGATATTTACCTGTCTAAAGATATGCAGACTAAAACATTTGAAGAAAGGTAGAGGCCGAAAGCTCGAAGGACCAAAAAGAATTTGCAGGCTCCGTTACCTGCCAACCAAGCATTTGTGGTGCGCCAACCGATCTAAAAAAGAGATTTGAGTTAAAATAACATTCTTATTATATTGTTATAATAAGAACACTTGCGGGCTTATTACTTAAATTCCGTACCCAATATTGAATTTGCATACCACGTTTTCACGTTTCCGAAATCAACGGATGTTGCAATAAAAAATAATCTTTGCTGAAAAACCCGTTTTACGAGAAAACTCCTTCAAACCGATTTTCTATAACGCGGTCCGCGGTAACAATTATAGTAACGCTACTATAATTGTTTTCTTGCCGATAAATATCAGTAGAAACCGACTTAACTAAAAATACAATTCAACTTTAATAACTTATTTTAATAAACTATGACTAAAAAAAATTGAAAATAACTGCCCTATTTATCGAATAATAATATAAACTCAATTTATAAGTTGTTTCTATAAGCCACAAACGGATTGTCTGTTCAATAAAAAATACTAGTTTTTATTACGTTGCAAACAATACTTATAAAGTGAAATATTTTAACAAAAATATCAGTTATTTGCCAAATAGGAATTGTTTTTGGTATTTCCTATTTCCTTTTTCATTATAAAAGTATTGTAAGATTTAAATATAAAGAATTTGTTGATATCCTAAATGCGTAAGGTCTATCATGTATTAACAAGAGTTTCGAAAGTGCACAGCTTTGGATACATAATATCCTCTGGTTCGAGTAGTTTAGTGCTTACTGTTAAGCTACTTAACATAGCTTAGGATACGAAAAGGAAGTCAAGAAGGAGAGTTAAAAGCCTCGCTGCACAGTCCGCGAGTCACGCCTAATACTTCTGCATTGTCCATCCGTCACAGCAAAGATTGACGGCGAGTTTATAGCCAGTATCGTCCGTTCTACGCCCTTGATTTGAGTACTGGCAGTAAGTGTAAATTTAGAAGCTAATTTCTTGCTGACAACATAAGTGTACACTGTCATTGACATGTATAGCATTTTGATTACTTTCTCCGAGTAAAAAAAGGCTTCATAAAAGTCTTCGTATAGTGCCAAATAATATTTCTCTTTTCCATAAACTAAATACTAAATACTCTTAACCGAACTATATTTTTGAATAGAGGGCTTTAAAAAGAATAATTACCAAAATTTGCACAGAACTTTAGAGGTGTTATTTATGAAACCAAAATGAAAGCCAAGGATAATTAACCATTGTTCGAAGCAAACCAAAACATTACCTTGCTTGAATGCATAATTCATACTTATCATGGAGGACAGCAAGTCACGTATTTATCATTAGCAAATGTATTCATACATTACTGAAAAATCATAACGAAAAATTCTGCGGCCAATTACTATAAAATTCTTTATACAGAATCGTGAAATATAAAACGTGATCGTAATAAAAGTAAAAGTAAAAAATCATTTAATCATATAGGTAGCACAATGTACACTTATGAACGTCAAAAAAAGAAATGTGTATAAATGCTTTCTAACTTTACATTTAGTGCCAGTTCTCAAATCAAGGGCGTAGAACGGACGAGAAGAACTGTCAATAAATTCTCCGCCTCTCTTTTTAATCGCCATGTTTTTTTTTTAAACAACGTTTGTAAGGAGCTGCAACCATTACACCATGTTCCACATGACATCTTAAGTAATAAATAATAATAACATATATTAAAAACAAAGACTTGTCCTCTATCAGCAGGAGGCATGGTGAAATAGGAGCACGCACTTACATTCTCGTGGGAACAACACGCAAACGAAATAACTAACATCACCGCATACACGAATTCAAGTACGACCATTCACCACAAGTAGCACCCGTTCACGAGTATGACGCATGGCCAGCGATCGGCCCCTTCACCTAATTTATTTAAGAAAGACTTTAACAGATCAATTTAGGATAAATTAGGAAGATGGCGAATTCTTACACCCTAATTGTCTTATATGTATACGTAAAGCTAACCGTACTGCACCTAATCAGGTCATATCCTGGTCCTGGATATCTTTCTCATCGGACTATGTGAGTGATGGAATAAATATTGTACTGGTATCTATGTACTCTAAGCTGCCGTACCCAAATCGGTTTTAAAACTTCTTGTTTTATCTGTATAATTCACAAGGATTGGATCGTTTTTCTATTACAGGAATGTGTAAGATTATATATCGACCCGCAAGCGTTTTATTCGAGAAAGACAAGGCTGACCTGATTTATAACTTCCAGATCGGTAAATATAAGAAATTGTTATATTAAGTACTGTTATTATTATTTAATATGCTTAATAACTTATGTTAGCCCTTGAAGTATGTAAGTTTTGAGTTACAACCTTATTAAATTAAGTTAAAATGTATCAATTTTTAAAGGATAATTAAATTTTAAAAAGTTTTGGGATAATAGTTTATAGTTCTGTGGAAATTTACTAAAATATGATGACGAAGTGGTCGCAAAAAAAATTTCCAAAATACTTTATATAAAAGATAGACTATCTTCTATATGGACTATCTAACATTAAAACAAAACAACACATAATTTCATAATCGGTTATAATACGCTGTCAAGAGAGCTACCGAGGCGATATTCAGGCCATTTGTGCAAAATGCGCAAAGCAGGTTCAATATTCATAAGTAAACAGTGGACGGTCGCCTGGTGCGCACTCTGAGCTCATACAAACTTTGTTAATGGACATATGTAATGTAAATACTAATAAATTTGAAATGTAAAATAAAATTTCCATTTATCCACTCCATCCATCCCGTTTTTAAAATAACGGAATATAGCTCTTGTATTTTAAATCTCTAATAAAATGATAATTTAATTCTGTTCCGAAACCGTAGGATAACATTTTTTACAAAAATATAGAGGAGGAATATATGTATCTACTTCTTAGATGGAATAAAAAATAAAAATAAAATGAAAAAAATAATAATAATAAATTATTAATTATTAATTTTTTTTCGGTCCTACTAATAAAAAATCACTATACATGCGTTATAACAAGGTGAAAGTTATTCAGTGAATAGAGCTTGTACAGGGCATAAACACCTCTTTGACCAATAATCGATGTGTAGTGGTTGAAAAACTAACCGCCCCTATTTATTGTTACCCTGGCAACCGCCGTATTTGTTTGACGTTTGATTTTCGTGTTTTTTTGTGTTGTCGAAACCTGAAATTATTAAATGAGTACAGAAAATAAAGTAAAAAGGGTCCGAGCCCCTAGACGCGTTCTGCGGTACAAAACTTGGGCGAGGTCGGTATTAATGTAATAGAGAAAAGGACTTCAAAAGCCCTCAACGATCATAATTAAATTTTTAAGGCATCTCAAATAGTGGAAAGTGCCAAACTCTGCAAAAGGGCACAGTTCCAGTGTTTGCAGAAAGACTATGAAACAAAACTTATGCAGATGGCTGAAACACATGAGCTCAAAATGAAGCAACTTGCCGAAGCTCACGAATGGGCTAGACAGGAGCATCTACTGAGGCTCAAATTATTAGAGCAGCAATTAAAATAATAACTAAATACTTATAATAAAATAAACACCTGTTTTAAATGAAATATAAATTATTATTTATTTCACGTCCTATATCCTCACCTATGTAAATAAATAGCCTTAAAAATATGTATCTATTTGACCAATATTTGATGTGTATATGTCGAATAACTAAGCCGTAAAAAAATATGTATTGCTAGTGCTACTATATATAATTTGGCATTTTCTAATGACACTTAGAAGCCATGAAGAAGACACCTAAATCGTTGCTTCCAAACATCAAAACACCGTTCTATTGTATTCCTTGTTCTTATATGGGAATGATTGTATGCCTTCTCTGGTGGTAAACTCGGATTTAAATATGGAGTCAATGCATAGCCTGCATCTCTAAGAAGCCGTCCTTGGATCTCTCCACTGTCCATTCTTTGTCTGTGATGACTTTCTCTAAAGATACGGCTGTCGTAAGTACTGCCCCTCCACCGTGCCACGACATCCAGAATACGCAATGTTGCATCAAACACACACTGTGATACACATCCTTTCCTGTTTATGTAGAATTGCCCACTTTCACCACCAATTCTTTTAATTCTAACATGTGTGCAGTCGATAGCCCCTATCACGCCTCTAAATCCAGTTATGGATCGGAACCCTGCAGATACTTCTCTCTGTTCACGGATTGTTGCAGGCATTTTTATAAATTGATGATTTCTCCTAGCGAGGGCTTCTGCTACTCTTCGGCATATATTTGTGATTGACTGCTGACTAACCCCGTGTAAATCATTAACCTTTTAAAAATATCAGATCAAATGACGCTATTTCTGTCTTATACACCCGCTAAACTAGGCCTCTGCGTTGTATAAGCATTGTACAAGTCTTCATACAAACCAGACAATTGCTATAACAGCCGTATACATCAGACTTGTCAATTCAGGAATTATTAGTAACATTTTTCTTATAACAGGCTTATACGATGTGCATAAATTTTTATTAGTAAGACCCTTAGACAATATACAAAGCCGAAACAGATTACACAGATTAACAATATTATATATGAAACAGAAAACATTAGTAAGTATATAAACAAAAACATAAAACAATGAAGAAATTTAACATTAAACAAACGACAATTAATACTTAATATTTCAAAGAAAAAATTGTTATTGCTAAAAAAATGTCAAAGACTTTCCGCCTCTTCAAATATTTCCTCACATCCTCTTTGGTGAGGTGGAAATTATCAATATCCTCATAATAAGTGTCATAGTTAGATAAAACCTGAAACATTGGCGAATTATGCAGGTAATTTTTGTTCGTACTTAAATAAGAAAATAGATGTAGTAGGTATCAGTCAGGTAATCGAAGCACGTTCCATGAAATATGTCATTGAAGCAAGTTTTAAAAACTGTTACATTTTTGCATACCCTTTATAAATTCAGGGTATATTTATACATTGATGCATGTGTTACGATATTTTTACAAATTATTAAAATCACTTAAAAATCCTTTGCGTAAATTAAAAGATATCAGCTTGATGATCAGATATCAGCTATTAAAACAGAGGTAGGT